TTTATCGTAAGGTGAGACATATAGAGTCGATGATCCGTATGGCTGAGGCTAGTGCTAAGATGGAGCTTAGAGACTACGTCACTAGTAAGGACATTGATCATGCTATTGCTACTATGCTGGTAATATATTCTACGGTGTGCCCTATAGTAGGCCGTTGTCATATTCAGAGTTCTTTCATCATGACACAGAAGCATGCTGTAGCTGAGAGGCTCCGTAGGAGGTTCGAAGCCAAATACATCTCTAGCGTAACAGATCATAACGAGCTGTTGCACTTCATGCTTAGGAAGATGTTCAAGTAGTAATATACTAAGTTTTATGACTCATTACTCTCGCTTTCTCAGACAACAAATGGATTTGATCCTGCTTACTACTGGAATCGGTAGGGATGCGGCTGATGTTGATGACGCTGACATGCCCGAAATAACCATCGACAAAGGAGCGTTTATTGTGAGGAGGCTTCAAACCTGTGTTATTGGTAATGGCTGTTAACCCACTTAGCATGAGGCTCAGCAAGCTGATCTGAGAAATGTCCGTGAGTATATGGAATCAGCCTTGTTCGCTGAGGTCTTCACTCTCGATGAAGATGGGAAGACTATAAGACGGAAGGCCGTGGCTGCTTAGATAAGACCCCGACAATGCATGACCACTAATTTGAATTTTCAGAGTTTCGATCTCATCTCATGGATGATCATAACGACATCCTCCTGATCTGTACTCATTGGTATTGAGTTACGGCATTGGATTTGCTTTGGAACAAGCTCTCTCCTCCCCAGCTCTCTCTTGGACCCTTTGTCATCGCATATCATGCCTCAGCACTGACTGCAGCTGCATCAGCAGCACCAGCAGAGTTAGGAGAAGGAGAAGGAAATGCCTGTCTCCATTCCCTCGTTACACTGCTGCTTTTACCACCGAAACCCGCGTCCTAAGATGTGCTCATGACAGGAGTATATGAGGTCAGCCAGTGGGCCAAGAGTTGGGGGAATAAATCTCTGGGAAATCAGAGAATGGCTCATGTGGGTGGGATAAGGATGGCGACAGTGACTGGAAACCTAGCGAGAAGTGGGAGAATCGGGTTAGTCAATATACGTCAGGAAGTATCGACAATGTTGCTCAGAATGATAGTGACAAATCGTTGCAGAGAACTAAGGTAAGTCCTTGAGAAGTTACAGCCTATGAACCCCAGGATTGGGGTGAATCACAAAGGTTGCTCAACCTTTCAACTGATCAAGTCTGTGGCTCATGGACGGGCGTAAGGGGATTGGTCAGCTTGTTGTTAAGGGGAACACATGCACTGCCGCATTAAAATGGTAGTACAGTATCTAAGTCATCGAGGTTATCCATCCTAACATGTTTTCGTGCTCTACTTGTTGATGTTGCCTTGTTCGAGTGCAGTTCGGGGGAGCATTCTTTCATAATCTATCTATAGTACCATTTTATACAGAATCTATCTCCAACTAATTACCAATTGTTATAACTCATCAATGGCCTCACCTCGTAGACCCCAATGCCGACTAAGTTTTGACTTAGGTGTTAGCGTAACAGCAGGAACGCATGGCATGTATCTAACTCTGATTGAGCTTGGTTACCATGGTTGTGCGCTCAATCATCAAGTCACAGAATCAGCTGTATCTACCCATAAACACAAACCTATCGGCAATATTCCTCACATGGTCATTCCAGTCGGGAGCGAAGAGGAGTACCGCGCACTCAAGCAGTTGAGCAGCTTCGGTCTTGGTGGTATAAAGGACGGTAGCTCCTCCTCTTCCTCATTCATCATCCTGGATCGCATCACTGTTAACATGGCCCGGTCAGAGAGCTTATGCCATCTGGAGAGGCTACAGGATTATGATATTGTTGCATTACGACCTGAGAGTGATTCTGTTATATGGACACTACTTGGCGATGAGACACTCCGGAACCAAGTTGATGTCATATCCCTCGACTTGAGCCCCAATGGAGCTTCTGCGCAGGTAATGCTTTGTTTCCAATGGTGATACGGCAATGTTTAATCTTTCAAGGTTACCCTGAAACGTGGTCTGGTCGAGGCGATCCGCAAAGCAGGTTTGTTTATAGAGCTAGATTTGGGCGAGTACATGAGAAGCCTTGGTGATCAACGGGCTGAGATACTGGCACGGGGTAGTAGTAGTAGTAGTAGTAGTAGTAGTAGTAGTAGTAGTAGTAGTAGTAGTAGTAGTAGTAGTAGTAGTAGTAGTAGTAGTAGTAGTAGTAGTAGTAGTAGTAGTAGTAGTAGTAGTAGTAGTAAGAACTTATGGGGGCATGCGGCATGGATGGCTATATCATGTGTTTCTCCCATCGTAAATATCACCCAAAGAGGGAGCATTCTTACTCCAATGGCAAGCCTCTCATATCTCTATTCCTTCTCCTGCCTTAGGCGCCTACATTCTACGATGGTCTGGTCATGGTGATGGGGTAATACTTACCTCCGGTGCCCGAAATATAATGGACGTTCGATCTCCTACCGATTTCGACAATTGGGGCCGGGCTTGTCTCGAGGAGGTTCACATCGATCACGTCGATTCATAACGACATCAGAG